TAAATACCTGTAATTTATATTTTCTATGATCATCCAAAGTTTGTGAAAATGACTTTTGCAATGTATTATTCAATATGATGGATAATTCTTTAGTGGGTTTTTCACAGTGACCTCATTGGCAGACACAGGACTGTGATTGGCAATCTGCAAGATGAGAGAAATCATCCAGTGATCTAAAACACATTTAAAAAGCAAAAGGTCAAATAGAAGGGAGAAATGAGCACAAAAATAAGGAAGTAAAGGACTATTTAATAAAGAAGTTGATAACATTTGAGCGTCATAGCCAGAATATTCCATTTCCCCCTTCAAATGGACAATAAACTGTGAAAGGATCACAATCTGACAGCCAATTTCCCTGTTTTGGTTTCTCTGTAGGAAGCATCAAACAAGTCACTTTCTCTTATTCAGGCGAGTAGCGGCAGCACTGGGAAGTCACAATGACTAGTTTTTCCTCTTCCATAGAAGCTTGAGTATGTGAGAGAGATCATTGTGCTCTGGAAATTTTAGAGATTCACATTGTTTCACATTGCTTCAGAAAGTCATGACAGAAATTGAAGAGAAAAATTGCTGGTGGTCCAAGAATATAAAAGTATAGCAGAAATAAGTCATATTGGTAGAGAATAATTATAATGAATCAACATCAGATACATGTATGTGTATATGTATATGTGTATGTGTATGTATGTATGATATACCAAATATATTGGTAATTGTAGCTTTGTGTCTATCTAGTATACAGCAGAATTAATTGAAATTATATTCATCAGCTCATTTTTTATTATTCGTGATTTAAGTAGCTCGATTGAAAGTAGTACTATAAATCTATTGACTGACTATTTCTTATTCACATATCGATGTTTGCTCTCAGTGTTGCATGAATTACAAACCTTTCATTTTTTTCTAGACCTGTGGCTCTCAAACATTCTAGTCACCGGACCTCCTTACCTATTCAAACATGATTGAGACCCAAAAGAGTTTTGGTTTATGCGAGTTGTAGCTCTAGATGTTTATTGTATTAGAAATTGAAATGGAGAATTTTTAAAGTATTTAATTTCACCGACCCCCTGGAAGGAATTCCCAGGAGTCCCCAGACCACACTTTGAGAACAGCATCTCTGGATAAACATCATAGCTTTAATGCAAGATGGAAAAGAAAAAAAAACAAGTTAATGTTTTCACCCAAAGAATTTCTTTCAATCTGCTACATTTCTTCAATACTACCTTGAATCGTTTGCATATTACTGGGAAAAGTTTTATAGAAAAGGATGCAGACATTGATCTTATAGAAATAGTGTGCTAGAGATCCCTTCAGAAGTCACTTTGAAAGCTTTCTATAGAGAGAGCAATGAAAAGAAAGCAATGGCCATAGAACCATAAATTAAATTTCAGGAGGAAATACTCCCCTCCCATTTATTAGAAGGGGTTGTCAGAGTGGGTATTACTGTACTTTATCTAACATCAGCTTAGTTTTACTATTCTCAGGAAGAACATAAAATGCATTTCAGGTAACTTTCTTTTCTAAGTCCATCTTCACCTTTCTTTTTTCAGTCTATACAATGAAATGTACAGGTAAAGATGATATGGGTAATGCATATCTAGATGACATGCTTTGTCCAGAGAGGATAAGGGAAAGAATAAGTCCATCCATTCCTGAGATCTGGCATCAGGTTTTGCAAGACAGTTAATTATGTGTGATGTGTGTTAGAGATCTTCCAGATGACCACACTTTCCTCAACTCTTCTCATTTTTAACCTAGAATGTACCTGAGATAGATCCAAACTCTTTTGACTATTTACAGGTTCATTTAGACATCAGAATACTATGAGCAGAGGCTTATGTCTACGTATTTGCAAGGCTGAAAATTGCAGATCAATTCAGTGGTGGGATTCAAAAATTTTTACTATTGGTTCTGTGGGCGTGGCTTGGCTTGGTGGGCATGGCTTGATGGGTGTGGCAGGGAAAGGATACTGTAAAATCTCCATTCACACCCCACTCCAGGGGAAGAGTACTGTAAAATCTCCACTCCGTCCTCACTCCTGAGTGAAGGTTACTGCAAAATCCCATTTCCTCCACACCCCACTAACCTACTTTCCGGCTTTGTTCTCCTGTGCAGGGCAACAAAAGAAGACCCAGCCATAAATCTGAGATTCAGGAGGCAGAGAATAGATGGGGGCAGGACCAGTCAGAGATGAGATTTGCCAGTTCTCCAAACTATTCAACATTTCTGTTACCGGTTCTCTAGAACTGGTCAGAACCTGCTGAATACTACCTCTGGATCAATTGCTCATAATGCTGGCTAATAGCAGACTGTTGAGAACTTCTAACCAATCACCCCCTACTCCTTTTTCAATCCAGTAGGTAACTTAGCGTCTCAGCATGTGACTAAATAGACATGCTATCATTCCTTTCTGAAAAAAAGAGAAACATGGCTAGCTGCCCTCTATGTATTTCTGTGGTTTTTGTCCACTCATAAAAGTTGTTTGAGAAAAGCTGGATGAGGAAAAGTTAGCCTTTTAAAAATATTCAAAAATGCATTGGAAATTCTCAGAAATCTCTTGCTTGCCAGGGGAGCAAAACTTTCTGGCATTCTAAGAACCACACAACTCATAATGTTGTCATACCAGCAATTCTGCCTTTGGATATCTTTCCCAGGTCAATAACAGAAGCATAGTTGCCAAATTCTGAGAGCTCATATTTCCAGTTTGTTCTACATTGGTCAGCGGCTGACTCAAATTTTGTGATCAATTCTGGAAATATGTTTTAAGAGGATTCAGACCAGTGGTGGGATTCAAATTTTTTGACTACCAGCTCTGTGGTCATGGCTTGGGGTGTGGGGCAGGGGAAGGATACTGCAAAATATCCATTCTCTCTCCACCCGACTGACCTGCTTTCCAGCTCTGTTCTCCTGTGCAGGGCAACCAAAGAAGACCTAGCCAATCAGCTGGGACTTGGGAGGCAGATAATAGATGGGGGCGGGGCCAGTCAGAGGTGGCATTTGGCAGTTCTACGAACTACTCAGAATTTCCGCTACCAATTCTCCAGAACGGGTCAGAACCCACTGAATACCACCTCTGATTCAGATCAACGGGTACATGTTTCGAGAAAAGTAGCAAGTCCTATGAAGAGAGTTCAAAGAGCTGGGTATGTTTAGCTTTGAAGTGATGGGGATATGAGACAAGTTTTCAAATACCCGGAAGGATGTCATGTAGACGAAGGCCAAGATCAGTTTCACTGTGTAGGATAATAGCATCATGGCCTTAAAATTCTGGAAGGCAGATTGAATTGACTATATTGAATATATACTGAACATTTAAAAAAACGTTCTAACCTTAAGTACATCTGACCCGTTTAAGTGGAAGCCAGGGTTACTTTAATCTGGACTACAGATAGTCCTCGACTTGGTAACCATTCAAAGTTATAATGGCATTGGCACTGGAAAAAAAAGTGACTCAGGACCTTTTTTCCCCACAATTATGACCACTGCAGCATCCCCATGGTCATGTGATCAAAACTGAGGGACTTAGCAACTGACTCATATTTATGAGGGTTGCAATGTCCCAGGATCATGTGATCACCTTTTGCAACCTTCTGACAAGCCAAGTCAATGGGGAAAGCAGATTCACTTAACAACTGTGGTGATAAAAGTGATAAGATGGGCAAAACATAATTAACATGTAGGTCCCTTAGCAATAGAAATTTTGGGCTCAGTTATGGTCATAGGTCAAGGACTACCTCTATAATTATAAAGCAGGAGGTTGGATTTAATAGCATAAATAAGTTTGGGGTGGGAGACACAGATTGAAGAGATAAGATTTCATTGCATCTGCTGCCAGATAATGGATCCAGGGCCAGATGGTAGAACGAGGCAACCAATGCTTCCAAGGAGAAGACAGATACCCCTCCTCTGAAGTAGCTATAGACTGCTGAATCTGGATTAGGACCAATGCCAATTGTCCAAATAGCGGACCCAAAAGAAATAACCATTTGTTGTGACTCAGAGGTTTGAACCTGCTCTGTCAGAAGACATAGGCTCGAGTGATGAGGAAGATCTGGCATTAAGGTTTGAGCCTGCCTTGTTGAGTGACATAAACGGGAGTCAGGAGGAAGAGGACTTGGCATTGGGGTTTGAACCTGCTTTGCTGGAAGTTTCAGAATCCTCATCCTCTCCAGGACCTTCCTCATTAGTTATGCCTCAGGTGTCAGCAGATAAGCAGGAGAACGTGCCAGAGTCCTTGGATGAAGATCAAACCGAAGAATGTTGGTAAGCAGAAACGTCAAGCACAAACTGGAAGGAGACGTCGAATCAGGGACTGAGGAAAGAGACTGACACACCCCTCAGGGAATATAAGGAGGCGTGTTAGCTTTGAATCCCTGTTCGGGTCAACCTTGTTAATTTGCGTCTGCAGTTTGGACAAAGTAATTCTGTTTGCCGTTCGTCTCTGATTTATAGTTCTGCTCGTTATCAGAATTTGCAGACAGCTTCTGGGAAAACTGCCAAAGGAAAGTTAACTCTGTTGTTCCTGATATTGTCTGTTCGTGTTTTTTCCTTTGGACATTTGGACTCTCACCTTGTGGCCACAGATGAGACAGAACACCACTCACAGAAACTTTGAATTTCCAAAGGTAAAACTTTATTGTATACACCATTTCAGCACTGAAGATACAAAACCAGCTCTGGTTTCCCACACAAAGCCTTGCTTAGTTAAACAATAGCTTCCCTTTCTCCCCACCCCTGGGTGTTCACATTGTCCAATTATGAGATGTCCCTTTGTTATGGGAATGGTCCACCTCCTGGTGACCTTGACGGTTTCCAGGCTCTGATGCTTCATGTACAAACCCTCAGGATTCCATCCCACCCTCCCTTCCCCTCCAGTTCAGTGGCAAGTTGAATAACAATACGATACGAAAAGACCCAAGTGTTTCAATCTTGACAATCCCCTCCTGCAAGTCCCCAAAATTTGTATTATGGGAAGGGCAACTAGACTGCAGGTTCTTCTGGAAGATGTTCTAAGCTGAGATTTCCTGATATTGAGAACAAGCTGAACAACAGGGTTAGGGTTAAGTCCATGAATATTTTGCACAGTTTGAAGATTGTCTCTCTCTCTGCAGATGAAGGCAGCTGCTAGCCAGGTTCTGTGAAACCATCTCTGCCCTCTGGCTCATTCCCTGTGAGAGGAGAACTTCTGGCGGACTTGAACAACAGAAATTTCTATGATTGTGAAAAAGGCATTGAGAGGTCTGGCCTGGGGTTATTGTGCCTATGTATCCTGAGGCATCTCCAGATTACAATGTGCAATATATTTTTACTTTGTATTTTTTTCTTTTACATACTTGGAAGCTATATTTCTCTTTTTAAAAAAAACAAAAAAACACACCCTATCATTGAATAATTCGTTTTTGCGAATTTCTCTGATACTTCACCAAGGGCACAGAATGTTTACATGGCTGAGGAAATAGTGACAGAAAAAATAACTCCCTTAAGCATTTAACAACGGTGGCCAGTTTTAAGTTATAAAAGCAGCTTTGGTCAAGTTGGGCAGTTGGAGATATCATATTGAGAAGATTGGGATTGGCTTTAGGGCCATCGCTGTCCAACTGAGCTTTGCATGTTGAAGCTCTCAGTTCAATCCTAGCCTTTCCAAGTGAGACTGGGAAAGACCCATCTGAAAAAACAATATGCTGAGGAAACCTAGTTATACAGTTCTACTTCATGTGGGACAGTTAATGTTGTTCAAGTGCTAAGTGCCTGAAAGCTATAAGGCCCTGGATAGGGAACAACTAGCTGTGTGGTTTCTCAATCCTAACAAGACAAGTTTTTGGCTCCTAGCGTCAAGTGAGTTGAGATATTTTACTCTTGGTGGGGTTACACTTCCCAGGCACAGATCTGGTGTGCCAATTTGGGGGTCCTCTTAGAGTCACAGCTCCACCTGGAAGAGCAGATGGCAGCAGGGGCTTTGCACAAAGCCACCTTGTTGTATTTATTCCTGGAGTGGGAGGCTCACAATCACTTACATCTTAGTCACCTGCTATTTGGATTACTGCAATGTGCTTTACATGGAGCTGCCCTTGAAAACCATCTGGAATCTTCCACTGTTCAGAATGCAAAGTCATTTGCAGTTTTGGGTGTTTGGCGGTCCATCCAAGTAACAACAATACTGCATGAGCTGCACTGGCTTCCAATCGCTTTCCAGGTGTAATTCCAGGGGCCGGTTATCATTTTTAACACATTTGGAGCCCCAGGCCCATTTACACAGCCAGGTTTCTAAAGCTTTATAAGAGGCCAACAGGTTTGGGGCCATTCTACTCTTCAAGGGCAGAATATTCACAAAGCAAGGTCCACAGCAAAGAAGGCCCATCTTCTAGTTCCTGTCCGTTGACAGTCTTTGTCTGATGGGTTCTGCAGTATGTCCAATCTGCAGACCCCAATTTTCCTATTTGCATATTCCCCCTTCCCCAGACGTACCCCTTTATATGTGCACAGGGCAGGCATGTGCATGTGATGCACATGTCTGCCTCTTCAGCTCTAACTTGATTCAAGGTGCCACAAGGCTCACCATGCCTGTTCAGTATTGAATCAAGAAAACTGTTGAAGTGAAAGATTTGAGATTGGGGGTGCGGGGTGGCCTTGTTTATTCTTGGGTTCACCAGCCACAGCCACCGCTGCTGCTTTCTCAGTGAGCATTTAATTAATCACTATTTTCATGCACTGGCTTTGGCCTCAGGGTTATTTGCCTCCACCTGCACCAGGTTCTGCTGTGGGCTTCCCAGACCAAACTGGGAGCAGCCAGCCAGATATCAGCGGGAGTCACACAGAAGCAGCTGTGTTTGTTTGATCTTCTCAGTGCCAGGTCTTTGGTCTACGAGAGTCCTGCCCAAGCTCCTAACAGAGGCAGAACTAAGGCCACAGAGAGAAGACCTCCAATGTTGTAAATAACAAATATAAATACCGCCCAGCTGGGAATGAAAAGCACAAGGCAGCTCTGGTAACAAAAGTCTAAACACAAACAGACCTGGCTTGTTGCTATGCAGTTCTCCTGAGTTTCCAAAATCTTGGAAGTGCTCTGCCTTGTATGTTGTTTTCTTAGCCCTTGACAGGAGAAAGTATTAGCCTTTTCCCCTTCCCATGAGGGGTTACCTGGTGCTTATGCTTGCAAAGGTTAGGGGCAGGAGAAAGCAAAATGCAGCGGAACAGGAACAAATGTGAATGGCCAATTCCGAAATGGGTGGAATAATCTCCAAAAACAGAAATTGCTTTAAGCACCACAGTAGAATACTGTGTACCAATGGTGGTATATTCACTGAAACATTGGGCTTTCGGTAACTACAGAAAAATAATACTGGAAAAATAAGCACTTTTTGTGGGTAAAGAGAAAATTGAAAATAAGAATGTAAAGTTTGAGTCAAAAGCTGGTGGGAAAGACGTATTTTTCTTTTTTTTTCTATTCTTGGTATACGAAACCAAACAATGAAATTAATGGATAAATTATTCAGCCAATGATTGAGATTTCATAATGTTCATTGTGTTTAAAATGTCTCTTTACAAAAACAATAGTCTGGTTTTCATTAAATTTTCAATTCCATTTTAAAGAAAAACTTAAATATGTAATTTAACAAAACCAATCTGCAACCCTCTGTCAGACTGATTTCTTAGGAACAAACACCTTTATTTAATCTAGTAATCAAGTCACCCCACAATGCTTGTTGCTTTCATTCCTTGTCAAGTTAGTATTCAGTTTCATAGAACCATTCCTGCCTCTGTGGCGCATCAGTCTTTAGAGGCAGAACTGTGTAAACACAATGATTGTGGTTTCTCTGAGATTCATTCTGCATGCCTGTTTCAAGACATAGTTTTGTCAGTGTTTCCGGCCAAGACATAGAAAAAAAACTTCTTTAAATATGAATTTAGAGATCATCCTCACTTAATGACTACAATTGAACCTGGAATTTTAGCCATAAGTCATTGCGATCATTAAGCAGATGGCCACATTACATGACTCAGTTTTATGAACATTGTAAACTGAGTCACCTTGGTCATTAAGCAAATCACATGGCCATTGAATGGTCCCTTTTTCTGCTGGAAACTGATGAAAAATGCTGGAAACTGACAAAAAAATGTCACAAATCATGGTCACGTAGCTGGAGGATGCTACAATTAATCATAAATGAGAACCAATTGCCCAGTGTCCTAAATGCAATCACAGGACTACAGGGATTACGTGGTAGTCGTAACTTCAAGGAGGGGTCATTAGAAACATTGTTGGGTTCACCGTAACTTTGAATGGTTATTAAGCTACTAGACATTAATTGAGGACTACCTGTCATTGACTTTAGTGTAACATTTCAAATATAAAATCATGATGATAATGATAATGAACACAACTAGCTTCTAATACCTAAAATCCTCTGAATTCATGGGAAAAAAAGTATCCGAAGTATAACTCTTCCTACAAAGTATTGTCAAATGAAATCTTAACTATTGAATTTTCCCTCTTGAAGGACAAATGACATGTCAACATTGGGTTCATCTTCCTACCTGCAGCGTGACGCTATTTCATTAACCATATTTCAAGGACATATCCCTGTGACGATGTCTTTGTCTCATCCCAGCGTACTGTGGACACAGCCTAAATTCATTTTTTGCTTGTTTCAGGTTTAAAGTAATGCCTGTCTCCATTTTCCTAATAGAAATCTGGCTGAATTAGCAGTCTAAAATGCCCCATTGATGTTCTTAGTGAATATATGATCAGGTTTTAACTGGAGCTTAATTCTTTTTGGCCACTTGAGGATACTGTTGGTATACCTTCTGTTCTCAAGCTTTCATTGGCCATATTGACTTGGACCATAGAAAGAGCCAGTTTGGGAGCCAATTGTCACAAGGTTAGAAGCAAAGAATCTGAAATCAGACAACTCCATTACCAAAGCCAGAAACAAGTGGAAACTCCTCCCTGCCAATAGGCTTCAAGCCTATTATACAGCCACATAAAAAGAAAGAATTCAGACCTTGATTTCAGAATAAATAGGCCTTGCATTTGATACGTAGCAGTCATTGGAATTGTTTGCTAAGAGTTTCATTTTTCTACAATAAGCCTCCTTATCAGATCGGTTATGTCCTTGAATGCCTGTTTCCAGTCTAACTTTTTGGGAAAAGCCTGATATCAAACATCTGGCTTCAGCAGAGGCATCTGCTCATGTAATCCCTAGTCGTCATTTTGGAAATAGTCAGTCACATTATGTAAGTTCTTTACTGATGTGGGTTTAATGTTCTTTTGAAGGAACTCTACTCTTGTTTGTTTAACAAGTCTTCTGAAAGGTCACTAGAAAAGTGCTCCCTGAATGGAACTATAAGCTACAAGGTTGATTTAGATGGAGAAAGAGAATTGAGTTCTGCCAGCAATGTGTTGCTCAGTATTCCTAAATATGTGTATTTTAGTTTCTCTGCTAATTCCTCTGACTAGTGGTTTCATGTAGCTGTACAATTATTGTGGGGTGGGAGTATGAGAGGTGGTTTTTGCCTACTTTTCTACTGTCTTGCCTACTTCACAGTCTATTTCTAGATGCTGTTGCCACCGCAATTCATTGAGCATGTATTGAATTGTGTTCCATGTATTGAATTGGTATATTCAGAAACGGGAGCAAAATTCAGTCTGTACCCAGGTCTCAAGTGCAGTGAAAGGGAAAGGAATGAAGTAGAAAGGAGATTGCCGATGCTGTTGGCAATAACAGACTTATATGCGGCTTCACAATGATTTGCAGCCCTCTCTAAGCAGTTTACAGAGTCAGGATATTGCTCCCAACAATCTGGGTCCTCATTTTACCCACCTCGAAAGAAAGGAAGCCTGAGTCAATCTGGAGCTGGTAAGGATTGAACTGCTGTCAGTCAGCAGACTTAGCCTGCAATACTGCATTCTAACCACTGCACCACTACTCCTGTAATTGGGTCAATTTCCTCTAATTCGGGCTGTTTTGGAACCTAGTTTGAATGATTTTCTAAAGGAATGCTAAACTTCCAAAAACAGCTTGACTGAGAGGTGAGCAGAGCAGAGGAGGGGCATGTTACAAAGCAGAATGCAGATAGCCAGAAGCACAATGAAAACTCAAGTTCATTTTTTTCCATTCCACCAAAATCCTTGTTCAGAAATAGTCAAATGACAGGTCACTGGTATGCAAAACTTCCTGATTAGTGACCTGCCACACAATGAACTTAAAAGATGGCACCCGCAGAGGTACCTGCCCATCAGCTATTCTGAGCCTGTTGTACCACACATTGAAGTATTTCCCCCTACTAGCAAGTGACAATCAATAGGAAAGTGAATGAAGCTCGGGAATCCATAATCACCTCTCAATTTATCCCACATCCGAATTGTGAGCACAGCACTATTTGCTGATCCTTGTTACTAAAATAGATTAGGATTTGACCCTTGGAGAAATGCAATTTATACCAATGTACTCTGTGAACTAGGTACTAGATGAATGCACATCAATCTGGCCACGAAGGAGAGCCCATTGATCATAGCTGCAGAGATGTTCAAATTGCATAATTGTAATATAATTGGAGGAGGAAATATTACACCTTCCCCTTGAGCTATTTGCCCAGTCAAAATCAACCCCCAAATCTATTAGTTGTGGTGAACAAAATGCTTCTTCCCAGAAAAATTCTGCTGAATAGTTAATTTAATTGGGAAAAATGACAAAGGAAGTAAAAGCACAACTATAATGATGTGGGAAAATACCCGAACAAAGCTGAATATGTATATATGTATATATATATATGGATCTTTGGTTATTCGGGTTTTCTCCTGCGTAAGATTGGCAGTATCTAGGCGACGTTTCGATGAAGTCTCATTCATCATCTTCAGGCTTGTTTCTTCAGCTTTGTGCTTCTCAGAGTAATGTGAGCTTGCAGCTGCTTCTTCCTTTTAACTGCTAGTGGGGGTGTGACTTGATTGGGTGGGGGCTTGGCTGTGTTCTGATTGGTTGGGGGTTTGGCTGTGTTCTGATTGGTTGGGGGTTTGGCTGTGTTCTGATTGGTTGGGGGGTTGCCTGTGTTCTGATTGGCTGGGGGTGTGTTCTGTTCAGGTGGGGGCTTGGTTGTGCTCAGGTTAGTCTTGGTTGCTGGGGGATTTGAGCTGGTGAGCTGTGATACTGCTGTTTGGCTTTGTGTTCATGGTCGTGCTGCATCTTCATGGTGGGCGTCAGTTCGCTTCATGTATGGTTCGGAGGGGTTTGAAGCAGGTAGTGATGCAGCTGCAGTGCGGCTTCTGGTCCGTGGTCATGTCTCATCTTCTGTGTGTGTGTGAGTCTGCTTTCTACATGGAAGTGTGGTGGTAGCATCTTGTGTGGCCCTCATGGGTGTGGGTCTGGCATCATTCTTCATGTTAGGTACTCGTCTGTTCATGAGGGCGGGTTTCCAAATGGCTGTTAGGCGGGAAGTGTCATCTCGTTTATTCATGCTGTGTGGGCGTTTTTCTATCTCTATGGCTTCTCTGATTATTCTGTTGTTGAAGTATTCAGTTTTGGTGATAGTTCTGGTATTTTTGAAGTCAATTTTATGTCCTGTGGCTTTCAGGTGTTGGACCAGGGAAGAGGTCGGTTCTTCTTTTTTGATTGAGTTCTTGTGTTCTTCAATGCATGCACTTATTCTTCTGTTAGTTTGTCCAATGTATGTGGCGGGGCAGGCGGTGCAAGGGATTTCGTATACTCCTTGGTTTTCTAACTCGGTTTTGTCTTTAGGGTTTCTTAGGATGCTGGATATTTTTCTGTTTGTGCAGAATGCTGTTTTAATGTTGTGTTTTTGGAGGATCTTGCTGATTTTGTCTCTAGTGCCTTTTATATATGGGAGGAGGGCTTTGCCGTTCTCATGTTCTCTGTCTTGGATTTTGGTTGGGGATTCTTTTTGGATTAGGTGGCTAATCTTCTTTCTTTGGAATCCATTGGCTGTTAGTATGTTAGTGAGAGTGTGTAGTTCGGTTTTTAGGTGTTGTTCGTCAGCTAAGCATTTTGTTCTGGAGATGAGTGTCTCGGCTATGGAATTGATCTGTGCTGGGTGGTGGTGTGAGAGTGCGTGTAGATAGCAGTTTGTATGTGTTTTCTTCTGATAGATGGTGTGTCCTAGGGAGCCATTGGATTTTTTGTATACTAAGACATCTAGGAAGGGAAGTTTATTGTTAGCTTCTGTTTCCATGGTGAATTGTATTTTGGGGTGTAGGCTGTTGAGGTGTGTGAGGAAGTTGTTCAATTTTTCTTTCCCGTGTGGCCAGATTATGAAGGTGTCATCTACATATCTGAGCCAGAGTTTGGGTTTGTGGTCGTATTTTTCTAGAGCTTGTGTTTCAAAGTGTTCCATGTAGAGGTTTGCGATGACAGGTGAAAGGGGTGATCCCATGGGTGCTCCTTCTATTTGTTTGTATTTTTGTCCATTGTAGGTGAAGTATGTATTGGATAGGCAGTGGTTGGTCAGATCTAGGATGTACTTGGGGGGGTTGTATTTGTTTTGGAAGGCTGTCAAGGCTTCTTTTATTGGCACTTGGGTGAAGAGGGATATGACATCGAAGCTCACTAGTAGGTCGCTGGGTTGTAAGTTTTGTTTCTTTATGATTTTGATGAACTGGAATGAGTTTCTTACATGTGAGTTGATGTATTCTGCATAGGGCTGTAGTTGTTTGGTGAGAAATTTGGCTAGGTTTTGTAGAGGTGACCCTATGGAGCTGACTATTGGCCTAAGTGGGGTTCCTTCTTTGTGTATTTTGGGGAGACCATAAAGCTTAGGGCATCTGGATGATTTCTCTCAGGGTATGATTCTTTGCTAGATTTCTTTGCTGATGGGGGAGGCTTTTATTTTGGATCTGGTGGTGGGGTCTGTGTTTAGGGGTTTGTATGTGGGGTCTTGGAGTAGGTTGGTTAACTTGGTTTGGTAGTCAGATGTGTTCATAACCACTGTCACGTTGCCCTTGTCTGCTGGTAGGATTATTATGCTGGTAGTGCATAAGTAGTGCAGTTTGTTCTTCTTTGGATAAGTTGCGTTTGGGTGGTTTGCTAGTGCAGAGGATGTTGGTGATTTCGAGTCTGATTCTATTAGCATCATCAGGGTAGGTTTTGGTATATATATATGTTTTCTGAGGTTCTCGCGGGTATTTGTATGTGGATCTTTGGTTGTTCGGGTTTTCTCCCGCGTAAGATTTAAAGTATCTAGGCAACGTTTCGATGAAGTCTCATTCATCATCATCAGGCCTCTGTCTTCGGTTCTTGCTTTTCAGAGTGATGTGAAATTGCAGCTGCTTTTTTCTTTCCAACTGCCAGTGGGGGTGGGACTTGATTGGGTGGGGGCTTGGCTGTGTTCTGATTGGGTGGGGGTGTCTTCTCATTGGTGGGGGGCCTGGCTGTGTTTTGATTGGTTGGGGGGTTGGCCGTGTTCTGATTGGCTGGATTTCCTGCTGCCCGGCTTCGAGTTTGAGGTCGCGCTGCATCTTCATAGTGGGTGTCGGCCTGCTTCATGTATGGCTCGGAGGGGTTTGAAGTGGGCAGTGATGAGGTTGCAGTGTAGCTTCTGGTCCATGGTCGTGTCTCATCTTCTGAGTGGGTGTGAGTCTGTTTTCTATATGGGAGTGTGGTGGTGGCATCTTGTGTGGCTCTGATGGGTGTGGGTCTGGTGTCATTCTTCATGTTAGGTACTCGTCTGTTCATGAGGGCGGGTTTCCAAATGGCTGGGAGGCGGGAGATGTCATCTCGTTTGTTCATGCTGTGTGGGCGTTTTTCTATTTCTATGGCTTCTCTGATTATTCTGCTGTTGAAGTGTTCGGTTTTGGCAATAGTTCTGGTATTTTTAAAGTCAATTTCATGTCCTGTGGCTTTGAGGTGTTGGACCAGGGAAGAGGTCGTTTCTTCTTTTTTGATTGAGTTCTTATGTTCTTCAATGCGTGCACTTATTCTTCTGTTAGTCTGTCCAATGTATGTGGCAGGGCAGGCAGTGCAGGGGATTTCGTATACTCCTTGGTTTTCTAATTCGACTTTGTCTTTGGGGTTTCTTAGGATGGTGGATATTTTTCTGTTTGTGCAGAATGCTGTTTTAATGTTGTGTTTTTGGAGGATCTTGCTAATTCTGTCTGTAGTGCCTTTTATATATGGGAGGAGGGCTTTGCCGTTTTCTTGTTCTCTGTCTTGGATTTACCCGAACAACCAAAGATCCACATACAAATACCCGCGAGAACCTCAGAAAACAAATATTACACCTCTACGGGGAGGAAACCCACCATCTGATCAGGACTTATGAAAAACTTGAAGTCCAAAGAGCTTCCATTTTATGTGACCTTGCATTCCTATGCAACTGCCGAGATCAAAATTTAATTCCCACAAGCTTCCAATTGAAATTCCATACCAACACAGCAGCCACCAAACGCATCCTAAAAAGAACAGAATTGGCTCTAATCAGAAATGAACTTCACACAAAAAGGTTTCTCCTAGACCAAATCAACAAAGATCTCCTCACACTCCACCTCAAACTCAGCAACAAGATTCACCCCCTACTTTGGGACAAATCCAAACAACTTGCTGTCTGGAGAGCCGAAACACAGACCACCCTCAAGACAGACACACTCACCAACAAACTCAGGAAACTACAACAACGCCAGAAACCAACTCCTCCCCCCCCCACAGCCACACATGAAACAAACAGTGCACAACATCTCAGACAAGATCCTCACTGAAGCTGAAACCAAGGTCCTTTCAAAAGGATTCAACTTTGCTGTCGCTCCCAAACACATCCCCACAGAAACCGTCATATGCGGAGTTGAAACCAGCCTGACCAAAACCAACCCTGACGATGCTAACAAAATCAGACTCGAAATCACCAACATCCTCTGTACTAGCAAACCACCCAAAAGCAACTTATCTAAAGAAGAACAAACTGCACTACTTAACCTG